TGTGTATGTGTATGTGTGTGTGTGTGTGTGTGTGTGTGTGTGTACACATATATACACATCTATCTATCTGTTTACCTATCTATATTACTTATTCATATGTATACTAATGAAAGCACACACAGATATAGTCACACATGGGAATATCTAATCGGAGGATCTGCAGGTCGACAAGAGGAAGTGTGTTGCGAGCGAGTGTGCTAACTCTCCGTGAGAACAACTGTTTCCCAGACGGACTATGTTGTCATCGCTTCGAAGGGCCAAGTCTGTCCCGACTTCCTTTTTTTTGCAGTATGGCATATGTTGCTTTTACTGGATATGTGTTTTCGGTTTAGCAATTGCCCTGTTGGTATCTGCGGTGTGCTGGGAAGGTAGATGTCATTCGCGGTGATGGGAAATTTCGGTTTCATTTCATGAAATATTTGAGCGTTGCATTTGTGTTATTGCGTCGGTAATAGACTTACCAGATTAGCGCGCACGCCCACACACTGACAAACACACACACGCATGTACAAAGACACACCCATGCACCAACCCACACACACGCACAGGGAAAATATACCACACATGATGATATTCTGGTTTCTAAGATCAAGTAATTTCGTAAAATAACTTTTGTCACGCTGCACTCACACTTCCCCGATTTCACTTTCCTCCGCTCAGTGAGTTTTTGGGGTGAAGGACTCGCCAGCTTGCAACTGCCCTGTGTGGCCTAATAAAGGATGGACTTCCGTATGTTATAGGAATCCCCTATCTCCAAAAGGCAGATTCGAATACAAGAATATTAATCTGTATTACGGTACTTGAATCTCCTGTGTTTCGAATTTATATAATGATTCTAGTAACCGAATCGACGTAATTATGTTGTGATTTCCTTGGCAACTAATACATGCCAGAGCAAAACGTATAGTGGTTTTGTATATCAAATTATTTCCAATCAGTAATGCAGCGATTGGACAATTAGAAAAAAAAATAGATATATTTAAAACATCGTGTAGAAAAGGTATGAACGAGAATGAATATCTTCACAATACAAGAGATGTATTTGACCGGTTTCGGTTATATCTTATTCATTCTCATTCATACCTTTTCTACATTTGTCAATATGAATACGGTTCAAAACATGGTGTAATAAAGATGATGAAGATAATGATGATAATAATAATAACAACAACAATAATAATGCTATACTAACATCAATGATAACAAGAGTAATATTATTATTAGTGTTATTATTGTTATCATTATTAATGATGATGATAATAGTAACACTGATAATAATGATAATAATAGTAACACTGATAATAATGATAATGATAGTAATAATGATTATAATAATAAAAGTAACAATAATAATAACAATTATAATAACAGTAATAGTAATGATACTACTACCACTAATGATAGTAAATGATAATAAAAGACAGATAATAATAATCAATAATAATGAATTACAAATGATAATAAATAGAAAATAATGATGAATCCTTAGGATACTGAATCATCAACAGTGAATCAATATATGGAAACAATGTTGCAAAACACACTCACCAAACCTAATTAAAAGATCAGATAATTATTTTTAAAAAGTTAAATATATATGTATGTATATATATATATATATATATATATATATATATATATATATATATATATATATATATATATATATAATGATTATCAATAGATAAAGATATATATTCTGAGTCCTTTGATACCCATGGAAGTCAATAGAAGTTTAAATAAGATAAAATGTGAAGTGAGGAAAGTACAAGTGGTGGAATCTAGCCTGAAATATTTGGTTATTAAAAGCATTAACTGTTTTTTTTTAGCCAAGTATATATCCCAGCTGTTATTTGACACGTAAAAATAGCTGATGACCCTAAGAATTTATTTTTTTCCTATAAAATAAATCTTCCTTTAAAATAACAAGAAAATAGGTTCTAAACTTTCATTTTCAGTCATGCAGTCCTACAGATTAAAACAATAAAACGTGCATAGTTCTTGCATAACCTTCCTAAATTGTGCAAGCACCTCTAGTTCCTCAGCAACATGTAGGTCTATAGTAGCAGACTACAGTGCACGAGATTGGAAAAATCCCGCATAGGTTAGAATAGTTACCATGAAACGTACAGACATGGCAAATGATTTATAAATATGTAATGCAAAAAAACACTAACCACAAGGCTCAAACCACGAAACCAGTCTCGTAAAACCGAACTCAATATCTTCGTCGGAAGGAATGATACTAATAGAAATAA